GTTAAGAAGATTATTGAATCCGGATTCCGTTTAATTTTTTTTGTTTCAAAGAAAAGTAGCTCTACGTTTCTCGATAGTTTACAGAGCCGATTTTTTTTAACAACTTAAAAACTTTTGTTATTCTTACGTTTTCCTTCATTCAGGGGAGATTATCGGCAATTACTACAGTAACCTCTTCGAGTCAAGCGAGGATGCAGCCTTGTTCCTTTTAGATAATCTTTCTCCGGCTTTGCAAGCCATCTCCGCGTGGCACTCGTCAATGATTCTCGACAGCGAAGATGACTCGGTCCAGACCCTCCCAGTGTGGCTACAGGATGTATTGGTGAATGGGTTGAGTTTCTGGCGCAGTGGACTCTATCTTCGTGATGGAAGGTGGCGTCAGTTTGAGGCTCTGGACTGCATTGATGTTGATTCGGTTCATAATGACTTTCAGCGGGAGATTCCATACGTTTTATTTTATCCCGACTTAGTCGAAAATGTTATGCGAGCATGGGCAGAGTACCAAAGAGAAGACGGCCATATTCGTGAAACACTAGCCACCGGGTGCATTTCCCACACAGGAAAAATGGACCGGTTAGTATTGGTGTTAACGTTAAGGCCGGGAGGGAGGAGAGACCAAGGATGACATCTGCTCGCAATGAACTTTGGTCCTATCGGCATAAGAGACAAGGACGACTGCTCGATGACATTGTCTCGATTTTACAACGACGAGCGTTCAGTCTGAGATTTTTAGAATCCAGGCTGGATTATGAGAATTTGAGAATTTAGTTTAGACTGGAGAAAAAGCAAACTCGCCTGCCAGAGCAGACGTATTTCCTTTAGTCACTTCTCTGAGCCCGAACTTTTCAGTTTTTCCTACAGGCAAACACAAAAGAGAATTATGAGCTTTCTTCGCCAAACACGAACAGGCCGTTTGTAGAAAATACCGGGTTATAGTCTTGAGTTTCGCTGGGATGGAGAATGTCAAAATGTAAACTTGTTGGCATGTGTTGTCTGAATTTGAATCTGTACTTCACTCCAGTAGTCCATATATACATTTAGAAACTTACTTACTTAAAAACCTTCCCCTTCAAAATCAGAGCCAAAAGCAAAACCCTTCATGTGAAAATGAGTTTTATTTGCATGATACTGAAATATTTCGAACTTGCTCTCGTTTTGAAACGGTGCGACCGACCCCTTGGATGACCATAAAGTGAGCCGGTCTGTTTCGGTATTTGCCTCGCTCCAAACATTAATTTTGAGTAAAGCTCTGTTGCCTTTTTCACAGTCCTCCGCTAAAGTCACGGATTATGGGTGACGTCACTACAGTCTTCGTTGTAGAAACATATCACATTTTCCTGTGGACCAATGACAGTGACTTCTTAAAAGACATGTGGCCGCACGTTGTTAGGGCAGTTGACTGGTTGATTAACATGGGAACAAATGGCACTGGTTTACCTTACAGACAGCAGTGCACGTATGATATGCTTGATCTGAATATCTATGATCACACTACTTTTAACAGTTTTATGTATATACTGGCTTTACGCGTGGCGCAGGAGTTGTGTAAAATTATGGATGACTCGGATTTGCTGAAAGAGGTTAATATCGCGAAAGAATATGCCAGCCATCGGATCTTCAAGGAACTGTGGAGTGAAGACGATGGTTATTATCATGCCTGGTGGGATGCAGAGCAAGGTTCACCAAAATGGCTGATGAGTGATTCACTGTACGCTCAGGTTTGGGCCTACACTCTGGGGTTAGGACACTTGGATGATCCAAGCAGGTAAGGATGGAATATTCTTCATGGTTAGTTAAGCTACCCTAATCTACTGTAGTTCGTCAGTCTGTGTACACCGCTTCCTTTTCTTTTTAAACAACAGCACCGAGATCTGAATAATTCTTCATGCCAGACGAAAGCGTTTTACTATTTATTCAAAACATTTCCAAACTCAAAACTAACCTCTATGTAAAGTTCCTGTTTTCAAAATATTTGCTTGATCCTGGCCTTGTCAGTTTCAGGATATGAAGGGGTAAATTTTTGTAAAAGATATTCTTCATATCGCAGTTATCATTCGTCGAATGATATTTTATCTATCCTCACTATATTTTGGATATTACTGTTCATAATGTAATGTAGACCTTGCGCATTCCATTATTTTTCTTCAAAGTTAGTGGGCGAAGTAAAAGCCGCGAAATGCGAGAACGATGGCCCGCGCACCCTCCGCGTCTCTTCCGGTCGTAAGAAGCTAGAGCGTTGAAACGCTCATACGCGCTCTCTGGTTCGGCTGTGATGCGGAGTAGGGCTGGAACTAGTTCGCTTTCCGTCCTCGATCCGTTGTCAGGGCAAGAAAATGGCGCCGTCTAGCTGGAGGTAGGTTCGGATTTATTACTTTATATCTTTAGATCGCTGCAATCAATAATTAGATTTGATATTTGGTGTATTTCTATGCGATATACAGAAAATATTTCGGTGATATTCTATCGTTAGTCTTATAAGTTAAGGTGTTTTTTTGCCTTTTTTGTTTATGTAGTGTCAAAATGGCCTATCGAATATTAGAGGTTGAAGGTCGCGTTTTATCTTGCCAGTCAAAACCAAATGATAATAAACGGCTACAAAAAAAACATGTAATGGTTTATAAATGTTGTTTGTGCATGCAAATTTTTAGCGTGAACTTTTATGAACCTTAAGTTTAAGGTTTTTTTACTTCTGAAGTGACGACTTCATAATGGCGATAGCAAGGTTTTTGTTTTGCACGTTGGCGTTTAGCTTGTTAATAAAATAAAAGATTTCAGTTTCCCAATTTAGCCATTTTCTTTTTTTAATATACACTAAGATGGTAAACAATTTTTTTTTAGTTACAGAACTGCGATCCAAGAAGGTTCTGACTATTTTGAAAGTTCTACTAGAAAATTACATTCGAATGATTTCGTGTGACAGTCGTTACATAAACAATAACAAATTCTGCTTTACTGCGGTATAAATCTAAAGGTTGTATTACACAGAAACAGAATGACGCCTATGGAGAAATTTGCTTTCAAATCCCCTCTAAGATTCTACTGTAAAATTAAATCATAGAATGTGTTTGTTATTATGATTTTTTGCAGGACAAAAGTGAGTGCTCGACCTGAAAAGACTACTAGAATACAGACTGAAAAATAAACGAGTTCATAATACCGTGAATATGAAGAAGAACATGAAGAGGTCTTAAATTAAGACTGTGTAGTATTGTATTTTTGTCGTCATAGGCTTAAGTGTGGTGGTGCACAAACTACAGTCAGCTCTCAGGTGGAAACTATTGGGACTGGCACAAAATGTCTGGATCAATGGACAGGTGTAACTCTTGTAACCAAGAATGAAACTGAATATACAAGTGTGCTAGGGTTGCTGGTCACGCTAAAAAGTTTGTTTTTCAATGGTTTATTAATAGCTGTTACAGGCCATTTATATTTCATTTGTGCAAAATTCTGTATAATTTTTTTGTTTGCAATATACTCAGGTTGAATTAGTATGCTATATAAATGTTTTATGTTGTATCTCTAAGATATATATATAGCAATGTCTGGTTTCAAAAGACTAGTGAATGTTTAGTTTCTTTTAAGTTCCTTAGTATGTCTTGCATGGGTCGTTTTCAGTGACCATTTCATTACAAAAAGCTGTTATTATCAAACAAAAATATTTGCTGGGCTACTTATTTGTGTTCTTGCGACCTCTTTGTTATTTTTTCAAGGGCAGTGAGTTATATTTTTTTCATATACTTATTCTTCATTGCACAGTATAGAATTACCGTACAAGATAAGAAATAAGGATAATTTTATTATATTTTAAATTTACCCGGACTTAAGTTTTCACAATCTGTTCAACTGTAATGCTCAATATTGGAGATAGCTCAATAAGGTGTTTAGACAAGAATAAGGCTGATGTACACCAACAAATCCAAACTTTAATAGTGAAAACAGATCATCTGGCCTTGAAACTGGGTAGCAAAAAATAAATGCCATAGCAGATGATGAATTACACAACTTGATATTGAACTGAAGTAGAGAACCGATAATAATAGTCTAAAAATGATGTCAGTGCTATCATCTGAGTTGTGATGCCATTTTCTTACTACGTCACGAAATTTTAATACAGGTCACAGAGGTGGAACTATATTCAACACAGATATTTGTCTGCGGGGGAAAAATTGAACAAAACAGAAAACTAACGTGATAAAAAATAATTTGTTCCTTCGCTATTGCTTGCAGCAAGTGAATACCACGGGATAATGGGTAACGTTCGCTGGATAATCTCTCTGACGATCCAGGATGATGTCCGCCATCTTGTTTTGTCTCTTTGGTGGTACCCTGACCCTTGCATCACAGCTAGATCGCTCGACCCCGCTCGTTTCAACGCCCTAGCTTCTTACCCCCTGCCTCTTTCTTTACGCATCACCTGTCGCGTGCGTGGGAATTTTTTTCTCGGTCGTGTTTCGTTCAGAGAACCTGGAAAACAGAAGGTCAGCTCGTAGTATAATGCAGCAAGTCCAATTTTACTAAATGTGTTGTGATTCTGTTTAGGATTAAATCACATCTGATGAAGGAGTTTGAAATTAACAATACCCCGTATGGTCTACGAGTGATGGCAACTGACCCACCCACTAACAAGAGCGTGGGCTCATGTCCCAAGGATATTAAAACCCCGGAATTAAAAGACGGGGTAGCCAAATACGAGTCGATTTGGATGGGTGGCAGCCCAGATTGGACAGCTCTTCAGCTACATTTGGGTAAGACTGCTGACACACTATTTGAACATGATAGGTATTTCAGAAGGTTTTCAGATGTATCTAGTAAAGGAAACAAAAAAAACCGATAAATGCCAACAGAAATGGTGTCTTTTACGTTTTAATAGATGCAAACTTACAAATTTTGCAAACGTTCTATACACGCTTTTAATAAGTCTGGGCACCATCTTGAATTTTCAATGAATGACGTCATTCGCCGTAAGGTCACATGGCAAATGGCTACCGAAGATGAAAGCTCTGTTGACGTTGATTTTACAGTGCATTCATATAAAAAGGAATGATTTTACTTTATATTGAGAGGAATATTTTCTTTATACAATGTCTTTATGGGTATGTTATCGTAACTTTAAAACTTTCGTGCAAAGATATTCCTGGATCGATGATATCGAGGCCAGACGAGAGCTGATTTAAATGCAAAAAAAATGCGAATTAAAGTTTTGGCTTAATCGTCGTGGCTTACGTCAACGGACACGAGCTTAACTTCTTCCCAGGTAATCTTTTTTAGCAATGGTTTGATACTTCATTTTTTATGCGGGCCTTTATTAAAAAAGCTGAAAACGATTAATTGTTACCGCTCGTGGGAGACTTAGATTATCTATCAGGTATTAATAAAAGCTAATTGAAAGGATTTTTCATGTTGCTATTCTGATCCTTTCAAAATGTACGATAATTCTATTTCGATAAAAAGTTTATGCTTTTCATCATCAGTTTTTAATGTTATTATGTATAGGTTTTAGGGTAAGAAAGAATTTGGATAAAAACGTTTATACTCCAGTCGACCCTTGCACAGAATAATTTTTCACTGTGGGAAGGCGTGGCTCAGTAATCAAGAAAGCTATCAGCTCGACTCCTGGTTAGAGATGTAGCCACTAAAGAGAGCTGGAGCAGGGATGAATCAATTCTTCCAAAGCACTTTACTTACATTTACAGCGTTAAACATGCAACGAAAAAATCAAAAAAACACCCTCGAAAAGGGATACAAATTTTTATTTGAAAATGACTGTCACGACAATTATTGCAGGCTTATATGGACAATTGATGCAGAGGGGAATGCTTTAAATCACTGAGAAAGAATGAAAGGCCTCACAATGTTAACAGTTGTGATAAATACTCTTGTACAGCAGGAGGAAATGGTTACTGTAATCACATGTTTTTATTATATAAGTATTTGAATTCACTGAATTCCCAAGAACTGGAATGAGCACAACTCAAAACAGTAGCACAAAGTAACCAAGAACCTAGGGTACGAACCCTAATATAATGCATACAAGGTATGCATATAATGTCAACAATCCTAATTACAGGGAGAAATGTAGAGGGAGAAATGAGGGCTTTAAGGTGTCTCTTGTATGCAGCCAAGCAACATACCGTCCAAAATAAAGAGAGGGCAAATTAGTTCTTTCATTCACTTAAGACAATTAACTGTCCTGTAATAGTTTCAACTAAATTAACTGGTCACAGGGTTCCACGGGTAGTGAGTTAAACATCTCTCTCTCTCTCTAATGGAGGCAAACTTCAGTGTTATGACAGCTATAAGTATTCCAGTTTGCCAAGACCTAGAGCTGTTGATGGCTCCTTTCCTGAATTCCCAATTGACACTAACACACCAGCTTGAGTGGGATTGCAAATACCCCTTTTTAGGAGGACCATTTTATAAGTTGTTTACAAATTCCTAATCCACCCTTAATTGAGAATCAAAAGGTTAGAGCAAAAATACGTTGTGGTTTCAAAGTAAAAGGTTCAAGTCAACTAGCTGTAATGGACTGAAATGGAAACTCAACATCTCTCACTGCAAACAAGCTTTGTTCAAAATACTCTCGTGTCACAGAATGATGTTTTTAATAATCTTGAATGGCAAATTGGTCTTAAGCAGCAACTAAATATGCTGAGTACATGAAAAATATTGGTTTAGCATTATATTTATATGTACATATACATTCATCAGGGGCACCCAACGACAATTTTCGGAAAAATATCTGTTCGGAAGACGATTTGAGATCTAGAATTTTCGGAACATTTGTTGTAAAATTTCTTGCTTGCCTGCCTCTCCTAGGATTTTCGAACATCTAAGAAATGGTAAAATTGCCCATTTTCAACGGATTTTTACCCTAAAAAGGTCACCTAGAATTTTCGGGAGCCTTTTTTCTGGCTGAAATTTTCGAACAGGTAAGTTTTGATCCCTATAATTTTCGGATCACTAGACTTTCAGCTAGGAAATCCGAACAGATGAATTATTTATAGGGGATGAAAATATGCCCATGTCCACCGTTTAAATACTAAAACACGTTTAACAATGCTATGTTTAAGTGGTTTTGAACTATATTCTCGTTGGGTGCCCCTGATTCATATTCAGGGCTTAAGAGTGTGGTGTTGTCATATCAAGCACAATGTCATGGTTGGCTGCTTTACCATACAGAAGGGTGACAGATAATAAATATCAAGTTATGGTTTATTAGAAATCAAATGCCCTTTTACATTATGAAACTTGACAACTGAGAGGGCATGTTCTGATCCAAGGTTTTATTGTCACATAGTTAATGGTAAGCCTGAGCTCAAAAGGGTCCGCCTTTTCCAGGGTCATTTGGGTTGGGCGGGATTAAAGTGGTGCTGTCTTCAATATGCTTAAAAAAAGACTGGTTACATTTCACATAATATTTAGCAGTTTTTTACCTTCTAACTTTAGTGCTAAAATTTTAGATTCTAGTTCAGAAATTTCAGCGTCGGATTCGGGTAAGCTGTGTCGCTCAGCATCATTTGGCTCAACACACACCTCACTCCAGTAGTATTTACCATATTTTGTTTCCCTCGAATCAGAGTCCTGTTTAACTTTATCTTATTTTGGATCTTAGGGATAAGGTATGGCATGTGTACAGGGCATTTAAGGGACGGTTCATTATTTATGGGAATGACCGGGTCGGGAGAAAACCGAACGGGCTTCGAAAATTTTTCTTGCCGTGGCGACGGGCTTTGTGTTTTTTTCTTGAACAAAGAGACCGGGCTTTAAAAAAATCAACATAAACTAAAACTGTGGTGGAAACGCGGCAGTCGTTTGATGAGAACAACACATGGAAACTGTATTCGTCGTTGAAAATTCACCCGGTAAATTGTGGTACTTTCATAACAAATAAATATTGCTACAATATTTTTGGTAATGCAGGGATATACCCGCAAGAAAAAGCTCGCGCTTTGCGATCGAACACTCGAGAATTTTGACAGGCCACGGAATGACACAAATGTACTTTGTGAGCTGCTCTTTTATAGTTGTTTATATTCCTTGACATTTCAGAGCTTGTAATCAAATTAGAATTTCAAACAGTGATGCATGGACAAGGATTTTACTCAAAGTGAACTCCAACGGTTGGAATATTAAATCTTCGGACTCCGCCAGACTGTACACAAGAAAACAAGATGTTTTGATCGAGGATCTCAAGTTGCAACTCCTACTGAATTGAAAATATTTTTTTCTGCACGCACCACAGTGCTCTCCTTGCCGAAAAAAATGAAGCTGACAACTTTTTTTTCAACAGAGTGATCTTAAGGAATACCAATCTGCGACTCAGAATAAGAAATCGTGTGTCCCTGGAAGTGCGTACATTAAAAAAATTCTACCATTCATCGATTCCCATTACAAAATTGATGAGCTCTTTATGGAATACTTGTACGGTGACTGTTTTACAGTCATCACTGAACGTTGTTCATTTTGTTCTAACAAAGGATGGACAAGTCTAGTGCCCATGAAACGTATTCCCTGGCCTGTGCCAGATCCTGAAAATCCTACCCATTTTAAATCGGTCAATGACACACCAACTACCACTGACAGAAAACGGGCAGCCTCGAGTGCCCGATGATTTTCAGCCACGTGCAAACATAAAGAAAATGTTTAGTGACGGCATGTTAACAACGGAAGAAGAGCAGTTTTCGGAGAAATTTGCCGTGGAGCCGCACTTGATCAAGGCATACATTGCCCATTTAGAAGATCTTAAAATACAAAGCGGCATTAGAACAGAGGGGCGCGCAGAACAAAAGCGTAAAATGATGTCCAAAACGTTTGAAGAATATGCCTGGCGCGATCTCGTAGAGTCTGGAGATTTAAAAAAGTTGCTTGTATCTGAGCTGAATAAGTACCTTAAACATTACAAACTCGTAAGCAGCGGCACCAAAGCTGAAAAGATACGGAGAGTCTCGTTGCATGTGCTTCGCGGGAACCATGGTCAACAGGAAGATACGAATGAGTTTACTGACGAGGAGACGAAGGAATGTGGAACGGAAGATGACAGCGAGGAAATTGACAGCTCAGGGGACGATGAAAGTGAGGAGGATATTGTCCTTGCAGAATTGTTAAGTGGGCCAGACCCGGGGGCCAGACCCAGACCAAGACACGATCGCGACTTCATCACGCGAACGGGAACGTTATAGCATCGATGAAAGTGAAAAGATATGGTTTGTCTTTCAAAGCGATTCAGATGAAGAGGAATTTATATGGTTTTGATTGAGTTTGCAAACAGTTGACTTTTTAAAAAAATTAATTCGGGTCGCTATAACAGAACCTAATATGAAACACTACAGTATAAATCCGTTTCATTTTTTCATGCTCTGTGGACATTAGTTACCAGTCTTCCCATGTCTTGCTGCTGCAACAGAGACCTGGAACAAAGTTTTAAATTTCCTCGTGAACGTCTGGCGAACGTGTTTAAAAACATGTTTGTGGAAACTTATTCCTTCAACAAAATGTCGAAAACTTTTAAGGGAAACGTTACTCCACAAGAAGTTCTATTTGGAGAAGTTGGAAAACTCCAAACGCTTCTTGCAAGTCATTTAATACGAACGGTTATATATCCGTGTTCAAAGCTATATTAGAGACCTTTAGCATCAGGTAAACCGCAAACCTCAAACCGCAAACCGCAGTTACGCGTTTGCAGTTTCGCGTTGCCGAGATCTCAAACTTTAGCAAGGCGTTCAGTTCGATTTGTTCAGTTCAGTTCAGTTCACTTGTATTTCGCCAAAATACAATACAATACAAGAATACATATAGGAATTGTAAGGTTGCAAGGGAGCCCAGAAGAAACCAGAAGGCTTTATGAAGCCTGAGCTCCCCAGTCTAAAAGTAATAAACAAAATAAAAAGATATTCGCGGAGTGATACGTTAAAAAAAGGAACCAGACCGAGACTGAGTTAAGTTATGAATTTAGTAACAAGATAGAAAAAAATATTAACTCTGGATTGGAACAGAATACTTTCTATTGCTAGTACGGCAGAAAGCAATATAAAATTGATTTGAACTACGCGTTCATTGTTTATGGCCGCCATGTTGTTTTCATCAAGTCGAAGTACATCACTTTAGTCGCCCAAAAATCAGCAATAATTCATTGATTCGAGATCAAAAATCCAACAAACACATCGCAAACGGATACAAAAAGCTAGTTCATACCTTTAAACAGGAGGCTGTACAATTTTTTGTGGCAAAAAACCTTGCCGTAAATCACTTACCGCTGGAAGCCCTTCCTGCGGTTCAAACGTGAACTGCAAACTGCAAACGTGACCGCAAGGCCGTGGTCACGTGACATTTTGTGGTTTGCGGTTTGCCGTTTCCCACGAAAAACCTGATGCTAAAGGTCCCTATTTAGGACTTTTTCACTTATTTGGCAAATGATGAAATGCCTCAAGCTGGATGGCATTTGTTAACGTGCACTTTTCACAGATGTTAATAAATTATTGTTTGTAATCGCTGAACTCGTTTGATAGCCGTTTGCTGACTCGAACGGCGAACAGCTGTGTATTTGATCCGAACATGCACTAGTTGCTCTAGTCGTAAATAAACATTGAATGATTTTCACAAGGTACTCACTTCAATTTGAACGGGCTTTGAAAAATTTGACCCCAAATACTGAACGGGCTACGAAAAAACAAAATGCCTTTTGGGCGGGCTTTAGAAAGAAAGAGGAAAGCTATTATTTTTTTGCCGACCCGGTCATCCTCATAAATAATGAACCGTCCCTAAACACCGATTGAGGGGAGGCTGCACGTTTTCAAAAGCTACCGACCGCTATTAAAAGACAATACAATACAATACTTCCGAAGTCATTATCCCCAAAATAAAAAGAACAGACGATTGTATGTTTCTGCCCCAAGCAAAAAAGCAGTATTTGAGAGATGAATATAGAAGTACGAGTTAGAACACACACACAAAAAGACAAAGTTACACACCTTTACGGTCCAGTACTCCTCCCTTTTAATTCGCTGCAGCCGTGCTAGCTTTTAATACATGCTGATCGCTTGGATATCTTATGTCACATTTCCTAGTGTTGCGTTTGTTATCGAATATGAAATCCCCGTGTGACTTGCAAAGACATACCGCACAACTGCGATTACTTTAGCCTGGGAAAAGGATTTGCTGGTATTTGTTAATGTTTATAAAGGAAAGGAGTGGAATAAGGCGATTCATAATGGCTTGACTTTGCCTCTCGTCCTGATATGGTACTGTCACGCGAGTCAACACTCAAAGCCTTTGAGAATGGCGGCTGAAGTCTTTCCGCGAATGACATCATAAATTAAAAATTCAAGATAGCGCCTAGACTTATTAAAAGCGTGTTTCACGTTTATGATGGGTAGTAATGATGATGATGATGATGATGATCGACCAGAGTGAAGGTGTTAAACAATGTAAATAGATATAAAGTGACGCCTAATTCGTTAGACAGATCTTTGCTCTTATGTTATTAATTTTCCTTTTCAGGCTTTGACCCTCAAAAAGCCTTGCAGCAAACAGAGCAAGCCATCGAGCATGTGCGTTCTAACCTCAACGATGAGTGGAACTTTCATGGACTATACTCGGGGACTGGGTACGGACTTGACGGTCTCCCATGGGCCACCTCGCATTATGCCTTCCACATGGTGCTGTGGCACATCCCTTTTGCACTTTCGGGGCAGGCCTTCTCGGCGCCAAATGCCACACTTTCATTCGACCCTAAATTTCCTTGTCCATACACAGTTCCTTTCTACACTCCTTTCGCCATAGGAACTTTAAAATGCGCTCTTGTCGAGAAAAACCATAACCATCAACAGACAAATAAGTTTGAAATTTTGTCCACCTCGGGTGACATATTTCTGCAACAACTTGAGGTCAGCGGCAGTCGGTATCCGACCAAAGTTATGCTTAAACAAGGCAATCCAGTCACTTGGATGTCGACCTGTGACTAAAGAGAGGTGTCTGAGATTTTCAATGTGTCACTTACAGATCGAGTATACTCAGTAATAATATCCATACAGTGGTTTCAGAACACTTTCAGAGCAACATTGATGAGCCTTGAGCCTCTAGCCATCCTTAAATTAAATGTGATGAACTATCGTCTCCTACTACATATAATATATAGACTTAGCCAGGGCTAAAAGCGAGGCTCCCATTAATAGATTTGTAATTTAAATCAAACGATAAACTTGTAATCCACAAATCAGTTAACTTAAGGGCACATATATGCATATGTGACTTTTTAGGGAAAGATAAGGCTGAGTGATTTAAGAGTGAAAAAATCTTACATCGAGTTGATAGCCGTATATATACACCCAAAAAATAGCAATCATCTTCGATCACATTTAAGAGCCGTAATGGTTCTTGATCACAGTAGATTAGGCCTGGAAAACGAATTCTTGGAAAACAAATCAGGCCGAATTTTTTGCGTTCGACAAGTTTACGTAACAAAATCTTGCCAACAAATCTGGGTGCTTGTAAACCAACATTTCATGCTATACATCGCATCTGAGGTGAAACAGTAAGATGAGGCGCTGTTTTTATCATACAGTTCTCAGACAAAATGCAGTATTTCGCAATTTTTCAAGACAAATTGCACTCATTCAAATACTGTATTGGGCGTACACCTGTAATTCTGTAATTAAATCCCGAAAGTCAATAAAAGGTTTCGTTTAATTACTTTTGGGGGGCAAACCCAGTGAAGATTTTAAGGTAATAATATTGATGATTAAGACGATGTACAGAAGGAAAGTTTAACTTTCGCCAGTGGGTCACTGGCCCTCACTGATGGGTGTTGGGTGTAAATTAGTACAGTTTGTGGTGTACTGTGTGTTATTTGTCATGATGTCAACTAACATTGAAAAAAATCAGCTGTTTCAGAGGAGGGACATGTCTTGACAGCTTATGGTTTTTATCTGGTCGTAAGCTTGGCCAGTATATATGCAGATCAAGAGCTTTTGAAATCCCTTTCCTAACCCTGTGTCCTCTTATGGTTGATTCTTTACATCTCCCTTCATTTCCTTTATAATATTTATATCAGTGGCATAGGTTGGTTGGTTGGAGGCTCCCTCATAGGTGAGACATTTCTTACTATTAATATAACTGTGTGATACAGTTAAGCCTTAATGTATTGCTTGTGATGGACTGTGTCACTGCGAGATGCGGTTCGCAACTCCAACCCACAAAAATGACCCTTGCTCGTCACCGAGTCCTCAGTAGCTTAGAGGTTAGAGCATCCGATCTAGAACACGGAGGGTCGTGGGTTCGAATCCCATCTGGGGCTCAGATTTTTTCTGTGTCCTCTTATGATTGATTTTTTACATCTCCCTTCATTTCCTTTATAAAATAAAACTCCGGACTTAAGCTTAAAAAATATATTGATCCAAGTGCATGACCAACAGTGTCAGCAGTAAGAATAAAGAAAAATTAAAAAGGCCAAAAGGAAAAATAGTGTTTAAAAAAATAGACCAAACAGAAAAAAGAAAAAATCGGTACAAAGAAACAGAAAACAGCGTCGTCGGGAGTCGAACCCGGTTTATCTGCACGTGTAAGCAACTCCTTGACCACTGCACCACAGTGACACACATGATTTGAAAAATTAATTTTGTCACATCAAAACAATTTTTCTCTGCCATAGACGCTGTTTGAAGCTGGTGGAGCTGTATTTATCATGAATTCAACTATACATTTGAGGAAAATTAGCTTAAGCGCGTATTTCAAAGCTATTTCGCATTATTTCGGGTTTAACGGGCCGACTCGATGTAGACAATCGATCGAACTAGCTTCATGAAATTAGATATAAAAAAACAAACACATACATTGTATACAATAATTTCTCAGGCTTACCATTCGAGATGCAGTTCCTGAAAGCTATCAAGTAAGGCCAGAATCGCTTGAGGGACTTTTCAACCCGCACCCAGCAAGGTGGAAAACGAACACGATGTCATCCGAAATCGGATTTCCAACTTTGACAAGCGGCGCATTTCTCAACCAAAAATTCAATAAACAAACCAGCCATGAATAACAGAAGACTGTTGATTTTATGCATCCAGTGGAAAAAGACAGTAAAAAACATCACAAGTTGACAAAAAGACTCTGTCATCTTCAGCTGTCAAAGTAAACAAGTTTTAAGATGCTGTATAAATTTTCTGCATGAACACACCTGTCAAATTTTGACCAATCAAAGCATAAAAATTGGACGGTCGTAGAGCGTGATCAACGCGTGACTATGGTGAGAAAAGTGAAAAGCCTCTGTCTTCCCTACTTGTATTTTTAAATGACTGGCAGAATTTTCGCGTCCGAGATCAGTTTGAAATAAAAACGTTAATAGCGCGGGGTCATAGTGACATTAACACGACGCTTTCTGTCACCATGTCATTATTTTGCTGCCGTTCTCTTTGCCTTTGTATTTCTCTGTCGCGTTGCCTTTGTCTATTCATTCTAGCTCTGTCTCGTTCTGCTTGCCAGCGTTCTTCACTATAATTTTCTCTCCTTCTTCTCGCCCTGACATCTTTCTACTTGCCGAATTTCTTCCCTAAAATTTTGTCTTCTTCTTCTACTTCTAACGCGCTCTCTTTGGCGATCGTCTTCGCTTGCTCTACGCGTATTAACTCTTCCCCTCTGCTGTTCACCTTCTCCTTGCTCTCTGCTTAAAACTTGTCGTCTACACGCTAAAACCTCTCTGCTGTTGTTTGTTGACGTAATAGCTTTCGTAAGTTGTAATAAAAAGTTATAAAGGCTCTGTCGAAAAATCTTTTTGCTGAGTTGCTTTTAAATTTCTTTTTCAAAACCACTTGCGCGATATAATTGCGCGACGTTGCGCCATGTGATTTCCCGCCAAAAAATCTCTACCTTTTCGTTTCCCTTCAGGTCATTTTCTATATAATTTTACCCTCGATAACTCGAACCATGTTTTAAGCCCTTAAAAAGTCGGGAAAAAAGCCGTCTACTGGCGTCCGAAGCATTGAGTTTTGGATTTCCTATTGAAGTGTTGTAGGAGTATACTTACTAGTGGAGACTAATGTTGATTGTCACAGGCTAACGTGAAGCAGCTTTTCTTCTGAAAACAGTAAAACGCATGCTCTATTTAGGCTATGTTTTGTTACGTTACGTTCTGATTTATAATCTAGAAGTATCTTTTAATTTTCACTTGAGATTTCTACAATTACATGTGATTAAAATGTTCACTGTGCAGAAAAAAACTGATTTTTACCTTACTCTCGGCTATTTTTTTCGAACTCCCGGTAACTCGAACTCCGGATAACTCGAACCTTTTTTTCGATTTCCCTTGAGGGTTCAAGTTATCGGAAGTCGACTGTATTTTTATTTTGCTTTTCTCATATCTGCTCTTTTCTGAATAACCCCACCCTACCACTTCACAGTTGATGCAACTTCCGTTCATTTATTTTACTAGCTTTTACTGCATATATATTTCTGTTAATTCGCGCCTTTTCCTCGTAAACTTGATAAAGACTGGTATTGCCCAGTCGAAATATCGTGACTACATGTTTGTTGTCTTGTTTTAAACAATAATGTAATCTTTTCATCAGTTTTACGATCAATATCAAAGGAGCAAGCTTGAAGGAGCAGCACGCATGTATCCCAAAATGCTTCACGAAAATCCTCAAGCCACGTGACACAGTCCAAGATGGATACAGGTGGTTCATATTTATGCATTCTCCTTTTAGACTGTAGATAGATAGATAGCCAGACTGGAGGTAACATTTTAACCATATTGTTCCACTCCCTTGTTGTTAGATTGTAGCGCACCATCCTAGCAATTAAAGAGATTTTAGTCGATATATCAGGAAGAAAGCACACAACACCAAACAACGCGGTATGGGCAGATCAAGTTACGCATGCGCACAGCCAAATCACCTCTTCCACTCCCCCGTCCCTCCAGGAGCAGCCATGGACAGCTGTTTCGTCCTCATGAGGACTCACCAGCTCGGGATAGGTTCTAGGCGAAGTGCGGAGGACAAAGCAGTTAGTCAGCACTCCGCTACCTGAAAGCCTGGAACAGGCTAAGCAGCTTATGGCTGCCTTTGGC